GACCCTCAATAGAAGTGATTTCCATTGTTCCAGAATACTTCCTAGAGAGAGTATATAGAGCACAGCACATGAATGGGAGCCTGACAGAGCCCACAAGTTTTTCTGAGTTGAGGAGAGTTCAGAGTTCAAGGGAGTCAAGTAGGTTTGAATTTATAGCACAGAATACAGAGGGAAAAACATCATTGTGAGGCAAGAATTGCAAAGAAAGAGAGGTACAGATCTGCACAGGACTCCTTTGATATTTAAGTCCTGATTAACACATGTGAGAGGAAAGTACTTGAAGTCAAGGGGGAAAAAAAGCATTAAGAATGAAGAATCAGCATAATTATCAGGAAACACAGAAGTTTTTTTAATTTGCTTTCTGCTGCTATAACAGAATAATGCCACAGACTGGGTAATTTATAAAGAAAGAAAATGTATTTGACTCAAGGGTCTAGAGGCCAGGAAGTTTTATACCAAGGGGCTGAATCTGGTGAGGGTCTTCCTGCTACATCATAACATGACAACAGGACAAGTGAACAAGAGACGGTGGGAGGTGGGGAGAGATGAGGCCTCCTATAAGGGAATTAGTCCATTCATTAGGGCAGAGCACTCACGACTTAGTCACCTCTTAAAGATCCTACCTCATCGAAACACTATTATAATGGCAATTAAATACCAAGGTGAGTTTTGGAGGGGACAATAAAACCACAGCAGAAAGTGAGAAATAGTTTATTATGTTCCTACTAGATAGAGTGGAAAAACCTACTAGTACATGGGACGTCAGGTAGAATATTCAAAAGAATACTGCCTCCATGTTAAGTAAAATTTAGTATGACAGTGAAGACTGCTCTGGTATTGCATCAAACAAGTTAGATACAACTCTTTATAGGATAATAGTGATTTCATTTAATTTAACTGTAGCCTGCAATAGTGCTCAAGTATATTTGAGAAAACACAAAAAATATTCAGAAACTAACAAGGTAAAATTTGGTCTAGCATCCAAAACGATATATATTATGAAGACAAATAAGAAAATACACCCTATAATGATCATAAAAATATGTCAATAGAAACAAACCCAGAAATGAGCAAAACAGTAGATTTGGTGAATAAGGACAGTAAGAGTTAATATAACTACATTCCATGTCTTCAAAAAATTAAACATAATTATTGACATGTTGAAGAGAGAAAAAAGGTATAATTAAAAGACAAAATAAAATTTGTTAAGGCTGGGTGTGAGAGCTCATGCCTGTAATCCTGACACTTTGTGAGGTTGAGAAAGGAGAATTGCTTGAGGCCAGAAGTTCAAGAATAGCCTAAGCAACATACCAAAAACCTGCCTCAACAAAAATTTTTTTAAAAAGTATTAAAAATAAATATACAATTTCTGATAGAAAGTGTGCATTTTATAAGATTAATATATGCTTAAGGGAATTAGACATTGCAAAAGTAAAGATCAATAAACTTGAAGATTTAGAAGGGATAAAAATGACTAAAAGTAAGAACAAAATATCAATGAACCATGGTCCAGTTTCACAATATGTGTAATTATTACCACTTAAATAGGACAGGGGTCAAAATATTATAATAATAAAGGTAAATGTGTTTTCAAAGTAAGCAGACTTTTATGAAAATTTCATAAGCAAAAAAACAGAAACAAAGCAATTAAAGTCCTGAAGTTCCTGATAAAGGGATATAAAGTAAATTCAGAATTATATTCCTAGCAAAAACATATTTCCAAAATAAAGAATAAATAAAAAGTAAATATGTGAATAAATACAAGATACCTTGCTATTATTTTTGTATCATGTTCAATGATAGTTGACTAAAAAAAATTTACTGTTGGGCTTATGACATGGTAATAAGAATTATTAAATAGGTAGTGGATAGGATAGGCAAGGAAAAATGGGCATATTTGATTGTAAGGTGAAGTTGTACAGTATCGCAAAGTGAACTATTGTTAAGTGGCAGAAAATTTTTTGTGACAAGTTAAAGATATAATCTATATACATAAAATAATCACTAAAAATAGACAGAAGTGAATCCTATATAAATAATGCATTAAGGGGGAAAAGCAATTAAAGAACAGATGGACTAAATGTAAAGTAAATACAGGGATAATTAAACCCAGCTTTATCAATAAAATTAAATTTAAATTTCTAAATTTTTTCAGTGAAGGTCAGAGGTTGTCACATTGGATAAAAACATGAATATTCAATTATTTGGTGACTACAAGAAACTCACTTCAAACATAAAACCACAAATGTGTTAAAGGTAATAGCGTGGCAAAAATATGCAGTGTTAATTCTAAACAAATAACTCCTGAGTGACCAATAGACATTTGATTTAAAGAAAGTTTACAGAAAGAATATTTTCAGAGATAAGGAGTGTCATTTTGTTATAATAAAGGGGTTAATGAAACTTAAAATAAGTGGAAGACAGGAAATTATAAAGATGAACAGGAAAAAAATGAACTTGAAAACAAATGTTATAACAAGTCAACGAAGTCAAAATTGGTTGTTTGGTGAGATTAGTAAAATGTTTACACTTCTAGTAAGACTAGTTTTAAAAGATCATAAAAAAGATACTGAGCATGGTGGCTCAGCCTGTAATCCCAGGAATTTGAGAGACTGAGGCGAGAGAATTGCCTGAGCCCGGGGATTCAAGACCACCCTGGGCAACTTGGTGAAACCTCGTCTCTACAATAAATCACAAAAACTAACAGGGCATGGTGGCGAATGTCTATAGTCCCAGCTAATTGGAAGGCTGAGGCGGAAGGATCGCCTGAGCCTAGAGGTTGAGGCTGCGGTGGCAATGAGCATGCCACTGTACTCCAGCCAGGGTGACAAGAGTGAGACTCCAACTAAAAAATAAAACAAAATAAAAAATAAAAAAGAAACAGGATATTAATGATCAACAGCAGAAATGAGAAAGAATATATTACTACAGTTGCTAAAGTTATTAAACTCATAATAAGATAATAACAATAATTTAAGCAAACTTGGTAAAATAAGTACATTTTTTAACACAAAAGTTACTTAAGTTCAATCAAGATGAAATACATAACCTAAACACTTATATATCCATTTAGGAAAATGAAATTATAACTACAAAAAATACTAAAACAAATAAAATATCAGGCTCAAATGTAATCACTAGTGAATTCTACCAAACATTTAAGGAAGATAAATGTTGATTTTATATAAATGCTCACAAAAAATCTTTCAGAAGAGCAAGCAGTTTCCATTTTCTTCTTCTAAACTAGCATTACTCATATATCAAAATCAGAAAAAGACAATGAATAGATTTCAATGAGGCTCCCCAATTTCCATTTCCAGGTGTTCACATCCATGTAAAATTTACTCCCCTTGGGTGTGACAATGACCAGTGACTTGCATCTAAACTATATAATAAAACAAAGATAATGTGTCTTACAACTACAAGAGAATGAATTTTGCTAGCAACCTAAGTGAACTTGGAAGTGAATTCTTCCCCATTTGAGCTTCCAAGTGAGAAACCAATCTCATGGTTGACAATTATAGCACTGCAGAACCTCCTGACCAACAGAAACTATGAATAAATACATGTTGCTTTAAGTTATTACATTTGTGTTAATTTTTGTAGGCACATGGAAAACTAATAAGAAGACATTACAAAGAATAAAAAAACAACTATATGTCAATATCCTTCATTGAAATAGAAAATTTTCCACAGTAGCTTGTTAGGGAAGCCATAACAAAGTACCACTGCCTGGGTGGTATTAGCAAAACAAATTTATTTTCTCAGAGTTCTGAAGACTAGTGATCTGAGATCAAGGTGTTGCCAGGGTTTGTTTCTTTGGAAACCTTTCTCCTTAGTTTGCACTTGACTGTATTCTCCCTATATCTTCATATCATCTTTCTTCTTTGCATGTCTGTGTCCTAATCTCTTCTTATAAGAATACTAGTCATAGTGGGGTAAGGCATACCCCCAACAGTCTCACTTGTCCTTAAAGACTCCGTCTCCAAATACAGTCATATTCTGTGGTACTGAGGGGATAAAATTTCAATATATAAAAGTTTGAGGGAGAAGGGCACAATTCAGGTCATAACAAACACAATTTTCCTAAAAAAAAATTTAACAAATCAAATTGAATAAGATAAAAATAATGATTCTTCCTAGCCAATAATTCTTCCTCCTACTTAATTAGGATTAGTGGTAATATTTATAAATCAATGATAGTCTTCATATTTAAAATAGAAATAAAAAACATGATTATCTTAATAAACTCTAACATCCTGTCTTGTTAAAAACTCTCAGCAAACTAAGAATGGAAAGAATTTTCCTCAAAATTGCCAAGTGCAAATGTAAAAATCTACAGCTAGCACTGTGTTTTTTTGTTTGTTTGTTTGTTTGTTTTAGGCACCAAAATTTTTATTGACACACCTTCCTGCTTTAACATTATAAACCAGATTACTCTTTTTGACCCAGGGTTTTGAGAGGAACCAACATGTTCAAAGTGGTATCAGATCTATGCCTGCTTTTATATTTTTCTGGCCCCTCTCAACCTCTGGCTGTCATTTCTTTTATCCTTTCTCAGTTGTCCCTTAACAGTCTATTCCAACCCCTGTAAAATAGGGACTATAAGTACCAACCTCATTGTTACGGGTTTAAGAGAAGGCCCAGCACTAAGGCAGACTCTCAGGATCACTGAAGCTCCAACAATTCCTCCTTGTCCTTCAATATAGCTCCTTACCATCTGTTGTGGGCTGAGGAACCACTGAATCTGTAAACCAAGCACATGGGTATAAGCCCATAGGCCAGGCAGATGCCTCAATGGTACAGTACACAGGCTTTGTGAATGACCACCACCACCAAGTTCGGCCTAAGGAAGAACTGACCCAGGGAGCAGTTCCAAGACCACTGAGCTCATGGTTCCCTTGTACCTCCACCGCAACCAGGATCTCTCAATTCCCCCTGCCATACTTGGAACAAGAGGAAGGACAGAGGCCAAAAACTGAGTTACCAGTCCCAGGGAGTCAATAGGGGACACTGACAAACCAATCATAAAGTTGGTGCCATTTGCTCGGTGGAGGGGGGCGGAGATGAGGCCTGAACAAGGACAGCAGCTGAAGTTTGAAGGACAGGCCTGTCTCTGAGTAGCGGTAGTGGTCAGGCTTGAAGGGGCCATCACGGGACACGTCCAGATACTGGGCCTATTTCTCAGTCAGCTTGGTCAGTTTCAGGTTCAGCTTGCCCAGGTGAGCTTCAGCCACTGCCTCATCGAGCTTCTTGGGCAGGAAGTGAACCCCAACGGGGTACTTGTCTGGATGAGTCCACAGTTCAATCTGCGCCATCACCTGGTTCGTAAAGGAGTTACTCATCACGAAGCTGGGGTGGCCCATGGCACCACCCAGCTTGACCAGACGGCCCTCAGCCAGCAGGATGATGCGGCGCCCATTTTTCAACTGGTAGCGGTCCACCTGGGGTTTGATGTTCACCTTCTCCACAGCATTCTCATTGAGCCACATGACATCAATCTCCACGTTGAAGTGTCTAATGTTACACACAATGGAGTCATCTTTCATCTGCTCAAAGTGCCGGCCAAGGATGATGCCAACACAGCCTGTGGTGGTAACAAAGATGTTGCCCTCCTGACAGGCCTCATCCACAGTGGTCACCTCATAGCCCTCCATAGCAGCCTGCAGTGCATTGATGGGGTCGATCTCAGTGATGATGACGCGGGCTCTAAAACCCCACAGGGTCTGGGCACAGCCCTTGCCCACGTCGTCCTATCCCGCTACCACTGCTACCTTGCCTGAAATCATCACGTCTGTGACCCGCTTGATGCCATCTATGAGGGACTCCCGACAGCCATAGAGGTTGTCAAACTTGCTCTTGGGGACAGAGTCATTGACGTTGATTGCAGGTACCTTCAGGATCCCACTGGTCAACATCTTGTATAGGTTGTGGACCCCAGTTGTGGTCTCCTCAGAGATACCTCCAATGCCCGACAGGAGCTGTGGGTACATGGTGTGGATAAGGTTGGTGAGGTCACCACCGTCGTCCAGAATCATGTTGAGGGGCCCATCCTTAAAGTACAGTGTCTGTTCGATGCACCACAGGTACTCATCCGTTTCACCCTTCCATGTGTACATTGGGATACCAGCCTTGGCGATGGCAGCTGCTGCATGATCCTGGGTAGAGAAGATGTTGCAGCTGGACCAGTGCACCTCAGCACCCAGGGCGAAGAGGGTCTCTATGAAAACAGCAGTCTCCACAGTCACGTGCAAGCAAACAGCAATGCGGGCACCCTCCAATGGCTTGGAGGCAGGCGCATCAGGCCCGGTATCTCATTCTCTGCGATATCCAGGGCCTTGGGTCCCCAGGCAGCCAGGCTGATATCAGCGACTTTGTAGGGCAGTTTGTCGGACATGCCGGCTGTGTTTCCACACGGGCTACCGACCCAGACACCGCAGGAGGTGGCACAAGTGGGCGGGCAGGGCCTACAGCTACCATTGTAATTAATGATGAGAATATGAATGCATTACCACTAAAATTAAGAGCAAAGCAAGGATGTCTGGACTCACCTCTTCTAGTCAATATAGCACTGGATACTCTATTAAGTGAAAAAGAGATAATTTATTAAATAAAAGTATCCACTTTGAAATGAGAGATAAATCTGTCTTTATGGAAAATGAAATAATTGTCTACATAGAGAATATACCAGTGAGTTGTATTTCTAATACACTGGAAACAGACTATTTGAAACTGAAATGTAAAGTATTAAAGCAATATCATTTACAATAGCATGAATAAATGAGTTAGGGACAAATCAGATATAAGACATACCAGACTTGTAAATTGGAAACTACAAAACATTGCTGACGGAAAGTTAAGAAGGCATAAATAACAGAATGGTGTACAATGTTTACAAATTGGAAGGCTCAATATTGTTGATATGCCAGTTATCTCCAACTGTTCTATATATGGAACACATCCCAATCATAATCCAGCAGGCTTTTTGTTTAGAAATTGACAAATTGTTTCCAAAATTTATTTGGAAAGGACTTAGAATAGTTAAAATGACTTTGAAAAAGACTATAGTTGAAAGAGTTACACTATGCAATATTAGGATTTATTTTAAAGCTGAAAAACTGGGAAGGTATGATATTGGCATTAAAAAATACAAAGATAAATTGGATAGAATACATAGTTTAGAAATAGGCCCTTATATATGGCCAATTGATTTTTGTCAATGTGCCATGGCAATTCAACAGGAAAATGATATTCATTTAGCAAATGATACTGAAACAATTGGCTCCTCATATATACAAATTAAATAAATAATGAAACTTAACCCTTACAATATACAAATATTAGCTCAAAATAGACCATTAAGCTAACTATCAGAGCCGCAATTCTACAATTGTTAGAGAAAAGCACAGGAGTATTTTTTTGTGAACTACATTTTGACAGTAATTTCTACATTTTGATGCAAAAGCATAAACTAAAAATATAAAAATGTATTTGACTTTATGAAATTTAAACAGTTTGCTTTTCAGATGACATTGATATAAAAATAAAAAGATTCAAACCACAGACTAGAGGAAAATATTTGCCAGGTTTCTATTCAGAAAGGAATTGCATCATGAATATTAAAGAACTCAATATAAACAAAATTAACTATCCAATAAAAAAAGTAGGCAAAAATATTTGACCAGACACTTCATCACAGAAGACACAAAGATGGCCAATAAGCACGTGCAATAACATTTAATATCATTCAGGAAATGCAAATTAAATCATAATGAATTTTCAATACATACTTACTAGAGTGGCTAAAATTAAAAAGACGGTTTCAAATGTTGCCAAGGATATGGAAACAATTAAAATTCCCATACATTATTGGTTTAAATATAAAATAGTACTACAACTTTGGAAAGCAGTTTAACATCTTTAAAATTATACATATACCAAACATATGACCCAGCCATTTCTCATTTAGTTATTTGCCAAAGAGAAATTAAAGGTATATGTTTGAGTAAGCAATTTTATTCAAATCTTTGTAGAAAATTTATTTGTAATTAACAGAAACTAGAAACAACCTAAAATCCTTCAATGAAAGACCAGATAAACTGTCTTATCAATTCAGTGGAATGTTTCTTAACAATAAAAAGAATTATGTCGAACACACATACATAATTAGACTGATGAAGATAAGTCACACAATAAAGAATACTTAGTGTTTGGTTTCATTCATATAAGTCCTGGATTCAACCTAATCTACGAAAAATAAAAGTTAGTGGGTATGTGGGAAAGAGGATGTTATAAGAAGGGCTGAATTTAAAATGAACATGAAGAAACTCTTGGAGAGTGAAGAGTATATTTGTAGTCTTAATTATATTTTCGTGGAAATAGACATATGCCAAAAATCATCAAATTATGCAAATTACATGCAAGTTATTTAATGTCAACTATAAGGGGCTAAAATCATAGGTTATAGTAAGAGCTGAGCAATGTTCTATGTACTGATAAATAACATTATAACTTAAGACATATTTGCTTCCAAATGATAAGGAGAGCATTATGAGAAACTATGCTTAGAGGACTGTCAGAGTTCAGAGAAACACCACCCAACCTAACCTCAGGAAGGTGAGCAGCACTAAACCATGAAAAGATTGAAAGCCAGATCTTAACTGTAAGTTTGTGTATTCTTTATATTCAAAATGACAAATCACCATTGTACTTACTTTACTAATAATGTCCCATATTGATCTATTTTTATTGTGCCCTAACGTTAATAGCGGTAAATTTTTAAGATTACTTATGTAAATCAATATTTTTTCTTATTCATGTATAGGTAAATGGAACCCCAAAACTCTATCTGGCACATCAGAGAAAAATCAAAATAATATTGCTATCTGCAAAGTGCAAACTAAGTAGAAAAGCATTGTGTCAATATGAAATTTTTAAAAATAAGTGAATAAAATTTTCAGATTTCAATGTCTAAAATATCAAAATTCCCTAGAGATGGGAAATAAAGTCTCAATAATTATTTTTAAAATGTCTAATCCTGTACATTATATCACAATTGCCTAAACCCACTTGTCATCATATTCTCACATGTAGTGATAAAACATAAAGATGATGATATTAAATAACAATTGAGAAAAACTTCCAAGATCAGTGACCTTCCCTTCTTTTTCTTTTCTTTTCTTTTTTTTTTTTTTTTTTAACAATTTTCAGGTACCATACATGGCAAAACTATTACAGGCAAGTTAACCATTTGTATTGCTATTTTAACTTTACTGGATGTTATCAGAGGTTTGATGTATGCCAGTGATCTACCATAACATAATGCATTAAGCAAAGGAGTAACAAAACTCTGCCCATTATTTTGCTTTACCATCATAAATGTCAAAGCAATGAAAAGGTATTTCACACATATTCTATTTCATATGTCTCTCTCTCTTTTTTTAAAAAATAATTTCCTGGAATATCACTACTAATGGCTTGCACTTATGCTCTGTAGGTAACAATCCACAGAAAGTATTTTCATAGAGATTTGTTTTTAGAATATGATTATAATGTGAATGGCAAAGTTTTTCTGCTTTTTTTCCTAAATATTCTTCATCTTTCTTCCCTTATTCTTGGAATTTTTTAGAAAACATGTAAGGATTTTACTAAAATTATGTTGGTAAACTACACATCAAGAATATGCATGCATATACACAATGGAATATTATGCAGCCATAAAGAAGGTCAAACATATGGACTTTGCAGCAACTTGGATGATTTAGAGTCGATCATACTCAGTGATCTATCACAGAAACAAAGAACAGAGTATCATATGTGCTCACTCAAAAGTGGACCTTGAACAAATATCATAATACTATAAGAAATGGATTGGCAGTAGTGGGGAACTGCCAGGGGAGATGGGGTGAGATTGGTAGTTGAGGGAAACTGCTAGGGGAGGGAGGGGGAAAACCTCATAAACAAGGGTACCCGCATAATGAACATTTGTATACCTAGCCCTGAATTGTACCCCACATCTTTAAAATAAAGACGTTAAAAATAAAAGAGAACAGAAAGAATATGCATGTATGTAAACAAAAATTTCCAAGTAATTTTTCAAAAGTTAAGAGTTGCTATTGTAAGTTTTGTGAATGTAGTTCATTTGAAAAACTTGTTTAATATTCCTGTGATTAAACCATGGACTCTATTGATGCTCAATTCCAAAACTGGAAACATGCACAATTTGGGTGTGGAAACATTCATAGACTAGAGGGGGTGTCCAACAGTCCCAGAAGCACACATTTCACATGAAAAGTAGTGAGTTCTAGAAAGATATGTGAAGCCAGAGATTCCAGACAGAATGGCATTAATTCCGCCTTGAGTGAAGCAAATAGGTAGAAAAGTCTTTCCAAGAAAATGACAGTTGAGCTAATACATCTTATTTTTTAGACTACAATAAAAATAAAAATTATCAAGGTGATTTTGTTTTTCTTACATTTCTACAGATATTCAGAAAGCAAAGAAAATTCTTTCATGAAGAAACACCTCTGCTTGCTGCCCCAGGATATTTTTCAAAATTACTCTCATTAGCATAAAAATATCAAACACATTTTATATTTCATGTAAAACATATTTAGAAATTGACACTGGCTTCCAATTTCTTATACCCTGAAATTAGATATCATTTGAAATTCTGAAATTTCCAGATTTTAGGATGGTAATATGCATATTTAGTAATGAACTATATATGTTCCATAAATGTACCATAATATGTGCAAGGCCTAGGGCAACACTTTCTATTTAAACACACTGATCTTTCTGTGGTAAAATGTATGAGTATTCAAAAATGAACATAAAAATAAAAATGAACATATAAATAAAAATTTTCTACCATTGTACATACCACAAGTTTAAGAGAAAAATGTTTCAGAGATGTTCATATCTAGAAATTGAATATAAGGAATTGTAAATCTGTAACTAAGTGATTAAAAGGTTTAAAATGAGTAGATTTTAAGTTAGCAGCAAGTGAATAAAATAAAAGCCCTGGTTTCCAAACCGGACAAGAGTGGTGAACAGTATTTTATATGAAAGAGTTTTCTCTGTTGTAGGGGCCCACCTCTGTCAATAGTACAAAGGTTTCAATTATGTATAAAATCCTACTACAGTGTGACGAGGATCACTTAAGCTTGTCATCAATTTAAGAAAATAAATAATTAGCCATGATCTTAGCTTTGATTTTTAGAACCGTTGTATTTACTATGAGGCTGAAAACCAGGAGTCATGACTAGGAACTCATGGACTAAAGACATCAGAATGAAAAATTGACTGTACTAATGAACTCAGCATTGTAACAGAGGATAACCAAATGTAGTCTCTGGGTAAAAATAATGTAGTCATTAAGAAGTATCAACATTTGAT